GTGTGGGTGGGGGGTGGGGTGGGGGGGGGGGGGGGGGAGGGAGCTAGGACAACAGCAGAGGTGCCAGATGAATGCTTCTCGGCGGCTGGTAGTGAACAAGACACAATTGAGTGAGTAGGAACTACGAGAAGACAGCCGGGGGTGGTTGCAGTGAAGACAAAGGATTGGTAGCAAAGCGGGAGGGATGTGAAGGAGTTGGAGAAGGATACACCACTTTGGGAGCGAAATGCAGCTGGAGCAAAATTTGACTCTTGGAGAAGAGTTACCACCTCAAAACGAGATACATCTGGAGCAACACTCACCCTCAGATACAATGCTAGAAGGAAAAATCTGGACGCGGATGGTTGTTCTGAAAGAAAATGTGAAATAAAGTCCCCCAAAACACAAATATTTATAGACTTAGTGTTAATAAAAGTGGACTCCACTCCAAATAGTATGGAAATCCAATAAAGGAATGGTCAACCGACCATCCTGAATCGATCCAATCCGCCATCTCACACTACAGTTTGCGGTACTGTAGCAGGGATTGCAGACACATCCCAATACTATAGCAGGGAACACGACAAAGGTTCTGTAGGAAGCTCCCACGTTACTGACCTTGCCATAAAAAAAAGTTCAAAATACTGCTCATTCATGATTGTCATTGATTGACATTGTTTCATGTTACATGTCTCATGGGTGCTCAATGAACACTAATTCTTTTAATTTCTTTTCTTTTGATGCTTCTAACTCTTTGAATGCAAGATTTGAGAAATAAAGTAATTTTTTACCTCAAGCCCTTTGTAGGCTAGTGACACTCCCTTTTAACTCTTGATGTGGTTGATCATTGTCTAGTTTTGCTATTCTAATGATCCTAGGTTTGTCTTGTTAGCTTTGAAGATTGTAGAAGTATTTGAGGTGCCTCTTGGACATTTTTTGAATTTTGTAAAGTATCCTGCCTATAAGGTGATTACTGAAGATGCTTCTATGGCTCAGAAAGTGAATTTAGTTCTAGAGGAGATTGAATAGGAGATTTTATTCGGAGGATGGAAGAGTTATTTTAGGGAAACACTTTGCACTCTCTCATTCTTAAAGCTACACTCCAAATTTTTTTTTATATCCAAGCATTTTGCACCGTGAAAATGAATATTTGTTCCAATTAAATTAGTTTGTTGGTAGGTGTAGTTTGCAGTTGGGAAGTAGAAATAAACAAGCAGTTAGTGGATGCTAGTTTTTGTTCTGGAAGCATAATTGGCATCCAATGTATTTCATTACTCTCCCCAACATTCGGAAAGTTGGATCTTTATTGTGATGTTTTACACACACATTGCTTGCTTGTGTTTTCATTTGTTGAATCTTTATCTATGATGTTTTATTTTTATGTTTTGACTTACACATTATCTTTTTTTTTTCTTTTGAGTCATTGTTGTAACCGCGTTTAAGCCATTAGTAAAATGGTGTCTTGCGTCGTGGTTTGGGTTAAACTCCAATATCATTTGGTATTAGAGCTGACTCAATCTTAGTTCTATCCTAGTGTTTTTAGCATATGTTTCTACCCAATCTACCACACCAAATTTTTTTCTTCTTTGTTTTCGTATTTTTTTTATTTTCTTTCTTTGTTCTTTCTTTTTCCTTCCACAAATCTCAATCCATCAAACATGCCACCAAAGAGAACTATGCCCGAGCCTACTCAGGAGGAAATAAGGCGAGATTTCGCCGACTTCAGCGGTGGATTGGGGACATTGAAGATGAAATCGAATGGAAGGTTACCCTCTACCGTGATCGGGAATGTCGAAGGGGAGAACGGGAAGATATGAAGATGTAGCGGGAAACACAACGCCAGTTCCTACCAACATACTACAACCAAAGTTGCAGACTCTATCGTCCGAAGTGGAATGACCTCAACACCAAGCAACCCTCTTACTACTGCCTAACAAAACCAACTTGCAAATCTGTCCTAGCCAAAAAATGTTGCAGGTGCCACAAGTTTGGACATGTTGAAGCAGAAGGCACAACCAGGGGAGTGATTGACTTCACTGAGTAGGGCGTCATAAAAAAATTTGTTAAAGACATTGCAGACATTGAAAAACAGATCTGTTTCACTAAGTATGGTGTTGTTGAAAAATTGGGCAGTGAGAGTCGACATGGGAGAAGTTGAAACTTTCGGGAGAATTCTCCACTTGCAGCTAGCGAGGAAGAGACGACACCCGTTCTAATGGATTCTGAAATAGAAATTTAGGCCGGGGTAACGTTAGTCGTTCTGGAAGGTAGTGACCTCGATGTAATGAGTGTTTAAGCAGAGCATGAAACTTTGGTACCTCAAGGCAGCAAATCACAAGCGTTAATAGAAGCTACAACAAAACTAACCTTGGCAGTTCAAAAGGATCACGAGCTTGAGGAGCTGACATCAGATTCATGGAACCACAAATACGATAAATACACCTTTTTGAGATGGTTAGACCTTCTCTTGAGTTATCCTTATGGGGAGGTACAACATGTTCGAAGAGTAGTCGTTTTGTGCCATGTCAGGAATATCACGTGGAGTTACTCAGAGACCATCTCCCGTTCCACATGGTACCCCTCATCAGATGTCCAAACAGGAGGAATAAAACCTAACTTTGTAATTGGCCTAAGGAGCTTGATGGGGACGAAAATTCTGCACTGAACACTTTTGTTTTTCATAAAAAGAAAATATGTTAATCTAATCAACTTTCATGAAAGATTATTCTAGGTCAACAAACCAAGGAGGATCACAAGAACTTACCATTGCCTTAATTTATTAACAAGAAATTAAAGCTATATTAATAAACTACTATTAAGATGAAAATTTTTTAAAACCCATAAGATGGATGCACCAATTTTATTATGGAGTGAGACCATCACCACATTGCTTTTTATGATCATGGAATACAATCATATTCAATGAGGGAATATCAACTAATAATGTTTATGAATACAACATTTATCAAAATATTGGTAGATGAACTTTATGGATGGATCTTGGCCATAACGGCCAAACCTTAATCAAAAGGAAATTGACTGGTAGGGGGAGATGTTTTTTTCTTCATGAAGTATGAAAAAAAGAAATGCAACTATGGAAAGAAAATTGCATCATTCATCAATGGAAAGAAAATTACATCATTCATCAAAAATACAAAATAGTATTTCATAGGTAACTTACCAAAGTTTCTATATAGGAGAGCGCCACTTAGCTCTATCTTCTATGAACATGCTAAAACGTTCTATCTTGTATAGGATGGATCTTTGCCATGGTGGCCAATCCTAAGCAAACAGAAATTGATTGGTGGGGACCTTCATGAACTGTGAAAAAGAAAAATGCAACAATGGAAAGCAAATTACATTATTCATGATTGAAATTAAATACAAAATATTATTTCTTTGGTAATTTAGCAAAGTTCCTATTTAGGAGAGAGCTACCTAGCCTCACCTTATAAGAAAATGCTAAAACGTTCTATCTTATATAGCCGTCATTACATTATTTCATTGAATAAAAACATAAAATAATTACAACAGTGGCACCATGCAAGCAATGAGTTTGAAATTGCTTTGACCCATATGTGGACCCATTTATTATTTTAAGCCACAGTCTTCACATTTTGAATTTTTTAACTTTTTTTTGCTTGTACGACATGCCAACTGTGCAGGAGGAAAGATATTTCGAGCTTTGGCTGAAATTTCCATGGGGGTGTCTTTTCTAAGAGAGAGGAAAGGTGCTATGTTTACAGTAAGAAAGAGAAAATGTTATTTTTAAACTTTGTTTTTGTATATGTAAACTGTGCATGGAAATGCATTCCATTGGTTTGAAACCTTGTTGGCACTTAAGAGGAAGGCAATAATATCATTTCTTTATTACAACCTAAGTTTTTGGGATGCATTTTCAATCTTTTCTTGTTTCATTAAGCTCATATAATACTGAAAACTAATGGGCCTTTTCTTCTTTATAGTTTGAGCTTTGAAATTTACATTTATATTCTATATCAACCAATTTGCAATAAAAAAGTTGAGACTGAAAAGATTCTCATTATTGATTGATAGTTGTCTCAGGGCAATGAATTTACAATTATGATATAAATTTTCAGCCTGGGTTTGCTGTATGTGCTTGGAGAAGATGGATGTTGTAGGTGAAATTAAGCACATGCACAGGTTTTGGATTCAAGTAAAAGAAGGAAATAAAATAGGAAGGGGTTCACCACACAGGAGCTACTTAATCCTATGAAAGTCTTGTTTGGTGGCTGGTTTTCCTCAGTTGGCTTTTATGCAATGTATTTAGTAATTACTCATAGGATCAAGTAGCTCCTGTTTGGGGAACACTTTCCTATTTTATTTCTTTCTTTTGCTTGATCCAAACTCTGTGCATGTGCCTGAACTCACCCACAACATCCATCCTCTCCATGCACATACAGCAAATCCAGGCTGAATCTTTTCTTTAGTCAAATTAAATCTGGAATTTTCTTTAAGGCGGGCTTTAGGCCCACCCATCTGTTTGGCAGAGTTTGACTTAAACCCTTTTTTTTTTTGAAAATGTTTGACTTACATCTTTGCTAAGTCCTAATAGGTGGCTACACAATTACCCCTCGGTAATAGGATGGAGAGTTTCAGTTTATGCATATTTGTCTCTTTATAGACTGACGCTGAGCTTCAATTATTAATGTTTATTATTTTTTCTGATACTCTGATGCTATCAGAACATCTTATTAGCCATAAAAGAGTGTCCATTTTACATTTTCTTAGATAGCTATGAAATAACACTTTTTGGCATATTGAACTGATTCTTCTCTTTTGACGGTTGTCCTCAGGTGGGCTGACCATGTGCCAATGTCTCCTGTGGAGGGCTGTCCCACTCTATTTCAGGCTACCTGTCGCTTAGCACCTGGCATGCATCAGGTTGATATATGATGCCTCTATTAAAGTTAATTTGACGAGAAAATCATATTGGAGTTGAATTTTATATTTAAGTGCTCATTATGTAAAATCTGCTTTCAAAAGAAGCGATTGCCACTTATCGCCTACACCTTTCCTACCTAAAATACAAAATTCAATTGTTTATAGAAGATGTATGCATTTTTTTATGTAGATAATTTAGGTATCCAGTCCACGTACCTTTCCCTTTCTCATTTTTAGTTTCTCATTTTCTTGTCCCATGAATGATGCAGTATAAATTCTGTGTTGATGGGGAATGGCGACATGATGAGCACGAACCTTCTGTGTCAGGGAGCTATGGAATAGTGAACATTCTTTTTGTTTCACGGGAACATGATTCCTTAACAGCACCCTTAAGCCCTGGGACTCCTGGAAGTGGAATAAACATGGAAGTGGATCACGAAACCTTCCAACATGTGGTAAGCTTAAATTCAGTTTTGCTAGCACAATTCTACTTTTTACAGTCTGGTGCATATGTAATTTTCTCTATCCAGGTTCACATTGCGTTCTAGATAAATGTAACAATAAATTTTAATGGAATATTTATGCTTTTATATCTTATCCTGCATGGTATGGTGCAAATGTGACACATTATTTTTTATTAATTTAACTTGGTAATTCATCATTTTTTTTCCTCTCCAAGTTCTGATTGCTTCGTATTTTTTTTTCCTCCAAGTTTGCGTTCCTATATTTTTTGAGGTTTGATGTAAATGTTACACGTTATTTTTTATTAATTTAACTGGGCAATTCATCATTTTATTTCCTCTCCACAATCTTGTATCTTCGTATGATACAAGTTGGATGGAAAGATTGCGTTCATATATTTGTTGAGGCATGTAATTGAACATGCCTTCATCTGATTCTCATATCTTTATTTTGGGGCCCAATTCAATATTAAATGTTTTTGCTATTAGTTGATATTGTTTCACTATTTACTGTTTGCCATTCAGGTTTGAAATTGATATGCAGTATAGTGCTTTTAACTGGTGCTCAATATTATCCATCATTCTCTCAAAATAAAGTTTATCCGTCAACCAGAATTGATCTCAGTAGCTCTGAATGCTTTTAGCATGTAACAATTGTTGATTTTCTCTTGAATTAGTCATTCCTTTCTTTGCTGCTAGCATTGATTTGGCCTTCTTGAACCAACTAATTTGATGGTTTGTCAAAGTTAACCTAAAATTTTTGCCAAAAGACAAATTACTCTTATCAATTGTGGTATTTCATCTGAGTCTCATATCTTTATCTCATTGTGTTATGAGAGGTAGTTAATTGTTGGAAACCTCTTAATCTCTCCACCCTGAAGCTCTGGTGGGGGCACACTAGCCGTATGAATGCCAATTATGATGCCGCCTTGCAGACCCTGTGGGATGAGAAATTGCTAGAGGGAGAATTACAATGAAAAATAGTTACAGGAAATCTAATAAGAGGACGAAAGGTCTATTCTAATAATGTTAGATGTATATTGTTATAATTATTTTGGAGAGACACGTGAAAGTCAAAAAAATTTTTGCTGCTAAAGTACATCAGTTTCATAATGACTAAGTTGATTTTTGGTTTGAGAGTAAGAAACGATAACCAAGCGTATATCTATCGTTTTTCAATGACCGAGGTGGCAAAAAACTCCAATATTGTATTGTTAATAGATCCATAAGGTTTTGGGCATTTAATGCGACAATGCTTGCTTTTTGGATATACTTACAATTTTCTGCGTGGACAGAATCTTTTGTTATGCACCCATGTGCCTGAGTGGATTAAAATTGGTTTTTATTACTGAACTCTCTAAGCGGACAAATGGGGAACAAAAAGAACAAGTTGCTTGAGGCCAAAATGCAATTTTCCCTGGAAAACAATGTATGGCTTGGACATGCTACTGTAAAGTTAGTCCTATATGTATGATTTTATGTTTTACAGATAAAATGAAATTTGGTGATGGTTATTAATCATCAATAAGTTTTAGGTAGGGATCAACAAAATTATTGACCTCTGATTAAGACTGTCTGCAACTTGAGAAACTTATTAATTGCTTACTTTTACCCTCAATTCATGTTCTTCATAAAGTTGGACATGGGGGTATGCTAAATTTCTGGTTTTAGAAAGCAGTACGTTTTCAAAGCTTTTGGGTATGCAAGTAGTGGAGGGGAACCTTAAATGTTGGACTTTCTGAAGTTGTTGACCTCTGCTTACAACTATCTGTAGCTTTATAAATTAACAATAATTTATGATACCAGAGATAACCCAAATCACAACGGAATGATAATATTATTGCTGAAATATAAAGGGGTTTGCAAACAAAGACACTTGAAAGTAGGAAAACCAATGAAAAATACTCCTAGGGGGAGGTTCGAAGGTGGTGGGCTGTGTGTCGAGGTAGTAGAAACAGATAGCTGTAGGTGGTATAGAGGTCTAGCGGCAACATGGGAAAGTTGGTCTTGTGATTGAATATCAAGCAAAGGAGGATGGGTAGGGACGACAACAATCAACAAGTGGATTGGTAGGGGTGACAACAAGTAGCTAGGTTGTTTGAGGGTGCGACAACAAGCGGTTAGTGGATTGGTAGGGGCGACAACAAGCAATGAGTGGATTGGTAGGGGCGGAAGCAAGTAACAGGCTGTTGGATGGTGCGACAACTAGCAGGGGAAGTAGGAGAGGGATGAACACGAAGGGATGATTTAGGGTTTAGAGCAAGATACAACCTGAGCACAACCTGTCCTCGGATACAATCCTAGCAAGGTTGGAAGACGCCGAAGACAGAGAATTGGAAGCAAAATCGACCTAAAACACAACTAATAACATATATATAGTCTTAGGTTAAAGAGGAGTGAACCTCGCTCCAAATAGAAGGGAATCATGCACAAGGAAGGACCACTCGATCCTTCTCCAACCTGGATCGAGCTAGTCAGCTTGCGGTACGTGCTTACTAATCTTTGATGTCGGAATGAGTGATACTAAGTCAAGTGGAGTGAGGGGGTGACGTAGGGCTTGGGAGAGGATCCACCGGTCCTCAAGGAAGGGGGCTGCCTCCCCCTCCTTCCCATCCCCTCCTTCCTCTTCCCTCATTTTCTTTTTTCTTCCTTTCCTTTTTTCCTTTCCTTCTTTTCTTATTTTCCTTCCTAACACTTTCATGTTTTAAAACCTGTCCTAAAACTGAAATCTAACTTTTATTCTCTTTCTCCTATTTTAAAACCTTTCAGCCTTTCTCCTAATTTAAAACCTTTTTTGAAAGCCTAAATTCTTATTTTATTCTTATTTTCTAATATAAAACCCTTCGCAAAATCCAAGATCTTGATTTTATTTTTATTCTCCTTATTTTAAATGTTTTCTAAGATTGTTCATGGCTCTTTATAAATAGGAGAGGTTGTGATTAGAGTTAGGGAATTGTATTTGATGAACTCTGAATTTAGTTTTTTCTGAGTGTTTTCTCTTTTGAGGGCTGTATCCGACTTCAAGGTAGTGCTTTGACTGTCTCTTGTCTGAGACGGTGATTGTCTCCACGGATCTAAGTGGTGCTCCGGCTGTCCCTTGTCCGAGGTCGTGATCGTCCTCATGGGTTTGAGTGGTGCTCGGACTGTATCTCGACCCTGTCGAGATATTTACTATTGTTCCACTCTTTCTGTTGCTGCCCACCCACTCCACAACCTTAAACAACTCAGCTGCTCCATCCAGACCGCCTCCCTACAGGTTGCCGCAGATCTGCTACCCTTCCAACCATCCCTTTGATAGCTGTCCTGCCTCCCGCGCCGGCAATGGCGCATCCATGCCAGTTTACTTCTGTTTTTAATTCATGCCTTTTCAGACTTTTTTGTATGCTTTTTATGTATCACAAGAAGAAGCTTTTCTCTGATTTGTGTTTCTATATAGTTATATTTTAATATTAAATGTTTAGTCGATGTCTCAATGTAGGGTGCAGGTCTGGGAATATCAGATTCAGATATTGAAACTTCGCGCCATTGTATCTCTGGCTTTTTATCTTCGCATACTGCTTATGGCTTGCTGCCAGATTCGGGAAAGGTATACTTATGTGGTGTTTTCATGTGAATCCATGTTCAAGTTGAGAATTGCCCAATATCTGATAAATACTATATTGATTTGTAGGTCATTGCTCTAGATGTCAATTTACCTGTGAAGCAAGCTTTCCACGTTCTTTACGAACAGGCAGGCATTTCATATTTCTAGTTTGTTCGGCGAGTTTTCATTTTTTGATGGATTCAGTTTTTCATCTTGAAAGGATACTTAACGAAGAATCTTTCTAACTTCACTAGATTTATTACTTTTTGTTGTTTTAGCTTTCATTCTTTATTTTATGACCATTAATTTTCATGTCATAGGTTATTCAACGTTTTTAAATAAGGAATGTTATGATGAATTGCCATTTGTTTTTCAGGGCATTCCAGTGGCTCCTTTGTGGGATTTTAACAGGGGTAAATTTGTTGGAGTGCTAAGTCCACTGGATTTTATATTAATTTTGAGGGAGGTATGCCTGTAATTACTTCCTTTTTTATCTGCTCCATATTTGAGGTCATATATTCTAATAGTAGATGTTTGGTACCTTTATAAATTTATAGTTGGCCTCTTTTCCTTGATATAAGTTCTTATGCACGCTATTGTTATAGAAAGAAAAATTCCATGTTTGCTTAGCAGTAATTTTTCTGCTTCCAATGGAGTGTGTTGTATAATTTTTTTTGGGACATATCTGTCTAAGCAGTTGAGCCTAAAGTTGCTGTTTGGTATTGTCTTCCAGCTAAAACTTGTAATTTCTTTCGTTTGACAATGTCCTTTAAGCTTTCTAAGTATGGTTGTAGTTCTCTTGACGCCACCAAATTGGTTAATTTTTGTATCTAGCTTGCTGAGTTTTTATTTGTGTAATTCCATGGCAAAAAAGCGTAAGTTTGCCTACAATATTTTTGTTAAAGTATGTTTTATTCTACCTGTTTAAAAGGTTAAATCTAAAATCAGATTATGGTTTAGTCACAAGTAAACTGATTTTTTTGTCAAGTAGTATTATATCTTGAATGTATAATCAATTGAATTGGTTAAGACTCGGTAACTGATCCAATTTGTTTTAGTCGTTTTTGGGTCTTCCATTTCTGGGACTGAGGAGAAAATCCTGTTGATATGTCCATTCTGTCTGACATTGTGTCAATAGTTCCTCCTTCAGATATTATTATGACTTTGTGCTATTGCTCTTATTTTTCCTCTTATCCGGCTTTAGCATTACCCTTTTCTTCAATCCTTTTGGTCAATTACTATAAGATTTACATCCGTGCCTCACAATTTATGTGTATTTATATATCTAACACTTAACTTTGATTTTTACAATCATGCCACCTTACCTATGCATGAAAAGGTGTATTTTGCTTTTCAAAAGCTAGTGATTGTAGTCTTTTTGTTGTGATATAAAAGATTTGAGTGTTACAAGAGTAAAAAATGAAAATTTAGGTGTTAGATATGTAAATACATAAGAATTGTGTGGTATGTATGGAAATGCCCCTTGCTATGATTATGCTAATTAATCTTTCACCCTCTCTGTTGCAGAGGTTTTCTTCATGTTTGAGACTTTTGAACATTCATGCCAGCACAAAACTCTTCGTTATAGGTTTCCTTTGATTGTTGATCCACCACACTAACCCTGCTGCTCTCTCCAAGTTTTCTTAAACCCATTTTTCCCGCTTATTTTCTTATAAAACTAACATTTCAAAGGATTTCACTATCATTCTCTGATGTACCCGCTGTTTCCCTTGAGAGCTCCATGAAGTTTTTGCTTCATTACCGTATCTTGTCATTCAACTCTAAGAAAGCCACACTTTCCCTTATACGCTGTAGCTGCTCTTTCCCTAGATATTCAACAGCGCTCTCTTTCTACTCTCATTCTTTCCTTTCGCATGCATTTTTTTATTTGGTACATTGCTTGTGGTTTTGTTTGAAACATGTTCTTGTGGTTGGTGATTTGATGAATTTGTTGAGAAGTTTTGTTTCTCAAGCAGGACTTTGTAGGAAATGCTATTTATCATTTGCAGCATGTATATATGACTAGATTATGGCTATTCAGATTTTTGTGTATGCCATGGTACTGGATTAAATTTGTACTGAACTAAGATTGCCTGTCTATTTCTTATTGCTCTCTTGCTGTAAAGTTTTTTGTAAGGTTAGGTATGTTCACTTTTTATTTCCATTATTGTTCTTTTTTTTCATTTATTATTATTATTTTAAATGTATATGCGTTTCATTGTATCCTGGCTATATTATTATATTTATTGCAGCTTGGGAGTCATGGCTCCAATTTGACAGAAGAGCAGCTTGAGACACACACAATAGCTGCTTGGAAATCTGCAAAGCAACAAATCAGTAGGCAATTTCATCCACATAGTAAATCAGGCCAAAGAAGTCTGGTCTATGTAAGCTCAGATTTTTAAATTTATTTTCCGTTGTTGTCCCTTGTTTTTATTCGTTATTTTAAAAAATTTTTTTTGTCAATTCATCTTTCAAAGCATTTAACATACTTAAAAAGACTAGTGAAATTCAAAGCGCTCTACCTATAATCTGTTAAGCTTTTTTTTTTTTGGGTTATCCCAATAAAATTTTCTGTTGTAATGTTCAGGATCATCTTTACTTGGATGTCCAGGATCATCTTTACTTGGTTGTTCAGGATCATCTTTACTTGCATGTCCCGGATCATCTTTGCTTGGTTATTATGGACTGGGTTTGAGATTTGTTTGTGGTTATTGTAGGCTGGTCCATTTGATTCATTAAAAGATGTGGCTTTGAAGATTCTGCAAAATGACGTATCCACAATTCCTATTATCCATTCATCCGCACAGGATGGATTTTTCCCACAACTGTTGCATCTAGCATCTCTTTCTGGGATCCTTAAGTGTGAGTTTTTACCATATGTTGTTTATATGTTGCTTTTCTTACACTTAAAATTTAAATTCTTAATTATTTACATGCACTTCACATTTACTTAGTTCGCTTGTTATTTATTTCAGGCATATGCAGGTACTTCAGACATTCTTCTCGTTGTTTGCCCATTCTACATCAGCCAATATGCTCTCTTGCAATAGGTACTTGGGTTCCCAAAATAGGGGAATCAAATACAAAGACACTGGCTATGTTGAGACCGAATGCATCTCTGAGCTCTGCTCTAGCTTTGTTAGTTCAAGGTGGGCCTCAATGCTATATCAGAAGGCATTTCCTGATTGATCCTTTTGTATTATCAAGAATTATGGCACATATTGGAAGTAGAATAATTTTTTCGGATTTGTTTTTTTAGTACCGGGGTGGTCAAGACCACAAATTTTTTGAATGTACTTGCCATCTATCAATTGCAATTTATTTGTACAGTTTTATTCTCTATAAAATGATTGATGTGACATTTCCTTTTTCCTCATTCAATTATTGATCAATATGGCTCCTTCCAATGCTTATGACGTTGGCCAATATTTGATCTGAACAAATTTTGATTAGATCAAAATTGAATGGTTGTGAGGATGTCAGTGTATCATATCAGCGACATCTATGTCAAGATAACAAGAAACTCATGATGAAAATCAACAAACTGCTGATTTAAGCGGCTTTGGCTCTCATTGTTCATTAGGATTAGGCTTTGGTGATGATTACATCTCAAGATTTCTTTCTGATGATCTAAAGTTATTATTGAAGGTTCATGATTATCAATCAATGAGGAGTTAGTTTTCTTTTGTGATATTAGTTACCAGTCAACTATTGATTTTCCATTGTTTAGTATATTTAGATTTAGATTTTTTTTTTCTTTTTGAGCCTGAGTTTGGGTTTATTTGTCTCATGTGTCGAGGGAAATCTTATGCTTGTTGGAAGCTCAAAATGGAGCATTATGTGAGGGCAATGACACTACAATTTGTGGCTGTCTTATTTTTCTATTTTACAGGTTTTATTTTATTTTATTTTTGTAACATGCTTGTAATGTTCGGATATGAGAACAGGATGTGTTTTCTAGTATTTTGAGTGGCCTAATGAATTTAGTTTAGTGCTGCATGTTCCTCGATCACTTGTGCCAACTCTTTATGTCATCCAGTAGAGTGCTGTGGGAATTCTTGCTTGATTTGCTTTTTTTTTTCTCAGTATGCACTATAGCTTGGACTAGGCTTTCTATTTTCTTTCTCGCGCCCACTATAGCTGTGATTGATTGCATTTTTCCTTTCTTGATATTGCACCATGGCAAAGAATTGGGCCTTTCTTGATTATTGTTGGCTTTAGCATGTCAATTCTTGCCTTTTCTTTTAGAGGATGATTCATATTTATCTAACAATTTCATGCTATATTTACTTTTGGTTGTTTGTTTCCTATTCTAAACAAATCACTGCAGCTATAAACGGCGGACTTGGTACTAACTGATTTGTTACTGATCTGAAATTCACAGTGTTAAGCTAGATTTTGATCATTATGAGAAAGTACTAATTTTGGATTCCAATAGGACAACCACGGCTTTTATTTCGGTGTAAATTACAAACAAATTTTTTTTCTCAAACTTATAATTTTGGCTGATGTGGATTCTTCTAGTACATTACAGGTCTTAATTGAAACTTTCTGGTGATGTTTCTTGTACTTGCATTGGATTCGGGTCTTCAAAATGATGACTTTTATCCTTTTTTTTGTATCTTATTATTTTGATGGGTTTTGCATGTGTGATTGAGATTTGGTAAAATTCATTACATATTTTTTTCTCCCTCTGCGAAACAAATTCTAAATTGTTGTGCTAATTTTATCTGTTCCTAATCTTTTTTTGAAATTTTAAAATTTGCTGACTTCTAAATTATTGTTTGGAGCAAATTGAAAATATTATTTTTGCATTACTACAACAACAACAACAAGCCTTTATCCCACTAAGTTGGGTTGGCTACATGAATCTTTTTCCTCCATTGCATTCTATTGATCGTCATATTTTCATTTAATTCTAAAACATTAAATCATTTTTTACAATATGCTCAAGTCTTTCGAGGTCTACTTCTGCCTTTCTTAGCATAAGTCAAATTTAAAACATCTATTCTCCTAACCGGATCATTAGATGATCGACGTTTAATGTGACTAAACCATCTAAGACAATTTTCTCTAATCTTGCCCGACACTGGAGCTACAACAATCCTATCACTGATATATTTATTTCGGATTTTCTCTGAGTGTCAAGTCACTCATCCACCTAAGCATTCTCATCTCAACAACACTTAAATTTATTTTATGCTTCTCTTTTAAAGACTAACATTCTGTGTCATAGAGCATTGTAGGTCTCACTACCATTTTCTAAACTTTTTTTCTGTAAGTCTAAGTGGTTTTCTTATATCACATAATAGGCCCGATGCATTCCTCCACTTCAACCAACCAACTTGAATTCTACTAATAGCAACCATCTATATCACCATCACTTTGAACAATAGATATCTAAATTGTTCACATCTTTTAAGAATTTGATCAGTCATAGCTACAACTCTGCTGCTAAAGCTTCCACTACTAAAATTACATTCCTTTGTATTCAATTTTAGATCTACTAATGTAAACCTCCATAATTCAAGTTTTTTTCAAACTCTTTCTCTAGTCTTATCCACAAGAAGAGTATCATTAGTGAAAAACATACACCAAGGTATGGGCTTAAAACTGATCCCTATTGTAATCCAACGAAAATAGAAAAATACTTGGGTCTTCCTCATATTTACACTAGTAACAACTATTGTATACACATCTTTAGTGTCTTGAATATAAGTCATATCAACACCTTTCTTCTCTAAAACTCTCCAATGACTTCTCTTGAACCTTATTGTAAGCTTTTTCTAAATCAATAAAAATCATATGTAGATCTTCCTTACTCTTTTTGTACTTATTCATCAAACCTCTCAATGAATTTATAGCTTCCATAGTAAACCTGCCCAACATAAATCCAAACTGATTATGAGAAATCTTTGTATCACGCCTTAACCTTATGTTCAATTACCCTCTCCCATAATTTAAAAGTATGACACATCAACTTAATTCCTCTATAATTCATGCTCTCGTGCATCCTATTTATCTTAAAAATGGGGACAAAAAAACTTCCTTCACTCAGACATCTTTCTAGTTTTAAAAAAAATATTAAAGAGTTTAGTAAGCCAAGAAAATCCCAGATCTCTTAAATATGTTCACACTTCAATTGGAATATCATCAATTTCTATTGATTTTACACCATTGGTTTCCTCTAAAGCCTCCTCAACTTTTTTACTAATGCGACGGTAAAAATAATACTTTTTTTTAGTATTAATTATATTAAAATCACCAAAGGCGATTATATTTTCAGAAACTACATTGAAAAGTTTATTAAAATAGTTCACCCACATATGTTGATTTTCTTCTCTAAAAAATTACTTTTTGATTTTCATCTTTAATACACTTGAATTAAAACTAAACTTCTCTTTTTTTTCTGGGCTAGTTTATACAAATATTTTTACCCTCTTTAGTATCTAATCTATTATAAAGATTTCTAAAAGAAAAAAAAATTTTAGTGTCACAAATTGTTCTCTTAGACTTTTTACAAGGAAAGAGAAGGGAGGGAAGGGGGTGGGGGGATGGGGAATAGGGGAAAAAGAAAATGAAAGGGGGGGTCGGTAGCCCTCCCCCCTTGAGGAAAGCCAGACCGAACTCCCTAGGCCGGGCCTCCCCAAAGCCCTGCATCAGAGAGAGAGAGAGAGAGAGAGAGAGAGAGAGAGAGAGAG